GGTGGAGAGGGAGAAGAGTCAAGGAATGAAGTGGATGACAAATCTATTGCGTCAGACTCGAGTGCAGTCACGCCTCCGCCCTCGACCTTGAAAAGACCACCAGTGAAAGAGCCAGTAAATCGTCTAGAGGGTGGCTTGAAAATTCACAAAATGGTCCATGTTCCTCCCAGTAACAAGAAGAATGGTGCCCTGAGAAAGTGTCGCGTGAGTGCTAAGCACAAGATTAGAAAAGAAACAAGTATCATGTGTGCAGGCTGTGGTGTGGCTCTCTGCAAACTTTCATGTTTCAATGTTTATCACACGAAGAAAAACTAATAAAGAGGTATGGAAAGGCATTTATTGCATAAAATATTGTCTTTTTATTAGTTCCTGAAAATTTCGTTTTTAAAAACCAATTTTTGTTGAAGTTCTTTAGGGAAAAGTAACTACATGCATTTCAGCGACATAAGGTTTAAAGGGCCTGCCAGGACAGGGGTGGGATTTAAATACCCTTCGTGCCAGTCAAAGAGTTAAGATGTAGAGGCAGTTACGACATACGAAGTACTGTAACATGACCATTAAGATGTAAAGGCAGTTACGACATACAAAGTAAGTACTGTAACATTACCATTAAGATGTAAAGGCAGTTATGACATACAAAGTAAGTACTGTAACATTACCATTAAGATGTAAATGCAGTTACGACATACAAAGTAAGTACTGTAACATTACCATCAAGATGTAAAGGCAGTTACGACATACAAAGTAAGTACTGTAACATTACCATTAAGATGTAAAGGCAGTTATAGTACCTTGACTACGTTGGTTCCATCTGATGCCGATACATAATACAGAGGAATATTGTGCTTCTGAGGAAATGCAAATGACTTCTGTGTAACATCCATGTTAGCTGCAATATAAAATGAAACATGTTTATTTATTTATTTTTGTACTTAGTTATTTAATGACAGTGTCAATGTTAACACTACACAGTAACAGTGAAACATGTTAAATTACATTTAATATCTTTGCCATTTGATAATTAGTTGAGAACAGATGAAGTACAGACAATACAATCATTTACATCCAAATGGTCGAATAACATACCTGTCTCTTACTGGGCTGTAGGTGCTAATTTATTGCATGTGAGTATGTGCAAATACCAGCTGCATATCACCTTACAACCAGCACTGACTGTGTTTTTCAGTGTCTGAAATCTGTTGCCATTCACACAGCTATTGATTTGTAAGAGTACAGACAGTGTCACGTTCCAGAATGTAGTGCTCATCATAGTCATCACTGTGAGAACCTCAAATCTAACGTGAAATTAGACTTACTATCAATTTTATTGGCAGCACAAAATACTGGTATATGTGGCCGGTGTTGTCTCAGTTCCTGGTACCATGTTGCTAGGTTCTTGTATGTTACTTTCCTGGTAGAATCAAAGACCATTATGCAGGCATGAGCTTGGTGGTAGTAGGATGGGTGCATGGACTGAAACATTTCTTGGCCCGCTGTATCCCAAAAATCTGAAATAAGTAAAGCGGCAATCGCTATTGTTTTAACTGATTAATTTGCTGAACCCCTTGATTGCTATGTGCTACCAAACAGTGTTGCACCAAGAATGCCTGTTTCATAAGGTGTTATTATACAGGCATTGATGCAGAAATTTTAATAGTCAGACCCTTCACAATCTACTTAAAAAAAAAAAAAAGTAAAGCTGCCCCTGTAACAGGCCATGAAGGCCCGTAGGGTTGTGAGACGGTGAGGATCCCACATTATCTAGACAATCTGCTCAAAGATGGTGGTAAGGTTGTCAGCCTTACACGCTGGCCGCACTTTACTCCTCAGGAAAATTATTTAATTCCTGGTACTCATTTCTGTTAGAGGCTGAGTCGACCCCATTTTAATAATATAACAATTTAAAAAGCTGAATACTTACAAAAAGTTCATAAACTTAAACATTTTTCAAAATTCAAGAGTTAGGAAATTTTCAGAATGCCAAGAAAATAAATTTCAAAATATATAACTTTCCATAAAAAGATATATTGCCATGTACTGCTACCTAAGAAGAGACTGAAAAACCTTTTAGAATTATAAATGAACTACACTAGTCATAACACCTTCAAAAACATGAGACGTGTAGGACTGAATAACGAGGGCCGGTCAGCTTGTGGGATAAAATAAAAAACTGCAGATGGACTGGAGCTGAGCCCCATGATATCACAGTTCTGCTGTCCCCACTCACTGCCATCTAGTGCTGAGGCAGACTGGCACAGCTAAACCTCCACCCCCCCGCCCCCACATACATCTTCAGAGTGTGGTGCTTAATTAAGTCCATGGATAACTTTACCTGAACCTTAATGTGAATGTAGACTACTGACATACCTACAATAACAGATTCATCTTCAACTTTGGTGTGATAGCGAAACAGGGACAAGGCATATGTTGAGAGCTGCTGCGGTTTGTATCCATCCAGAAGAAACCGTTCAACCAACCTGAAATTAGAAACGGTACAAAATACGTAGGTCATACTGAAAGTCATGAGCAACAATTTTTTCTAAAGTAACATGCTTTATTATTGACAAACCAAATGCACCACCTCAATCTCCAGACCTTTCTCTATTTTTCCACATAATCGCCACTTCTTTGCACACATTTCTTCCAGTGTTCTGGGAGTCTGAAAATTCCCCTTCTGTAAAATTCCATTCTAGTCATTCGAAGACATTGACGCACTGCTTTCTGAATTCAGCGTGCTTCTCAAAGTGTGTGCATGGGTGCGAGCAGTGTTCGAACATGAGCAAAACATTTGAAAGATGGGAACACCATCGAAGAAGAGCCTCGGAGCGGTCGTCCTCGAACAGCCTCAACTGAACACAACAAGGAAAGAGTGGATGACATCATTCAAGATGACAGGCATGTGACTGTGGACACAATAGCCCGAAAACTTGGAATAGAGCACACTGCAGTACAGGAGATGATTGAAAGCTTCAGCTATAGGAAAGTTTGTGCTCGTTGGGTCCCACGGTTATTGACCAAAGACCACAAAGGTCACATTGGAAGCAATTGCAGAGATAGGGTGGGAAGTTCTTCCACACCCCTCCTATAGCCCTGATCTGGCACCCTCTGACTACCATCTTTTCGGATTTGTGACGGATCAGCTGCATGGACAACGTTTTGAGACAAGGGAGACAGTTCAGAAAGCAGTGTGTCAGTGTCTTCGGATGGCTGGAACGGAATTTTACAGAAGGGGAATTTTCAAACTCCCTGAACGCTGGGAGAAATGTGTACAAAGAAATGGCGATTATGTGGAAAAATAAAGAAAGGTCTGTAGATTGAGGTGGTGTATTTGGTTTGTCAATAATAAAGCTTTCCCCCCCCTTGGCACTACAGCCCCAGTGGGCCTAGGCCTACCTCCATGAACTTATCCGTTCACTTCGGTTCTTCTAGATCTTACATATTCGGTAGGACTCCTTGGGCGGTGATCAGCTTGTCACAAGGCCTCTACCTGTACACAAACACAGAAAAACGCACACAAACTAAACATCCATGCCCTGAGTGGGATTCGAACCCACGATCCTGGTTTCCAAGCAAGCGAAGACAGTACATGCCTTAGACCGCTCGGCTACCGTGACCGGCAATAAAGCATGTTACTTTACAAAAATTGTTGCTCATGACTTTCAGTACGACCCTCGTATATTGTACTTAACCACTACATGTGCAATGGTATCAAACAGTTAGAGACATGTATCTGTGTGATTGTAGTAATGACCACACATCCTTAAAAGAGTGACATTTAATCAGATTCATAAAGACTATTCTTGAGAAAATCAGCTTACTGACATTCAGTGTTCACCTCTTTCACTTTTCAATTATTGTGTCCATATTCTGATGCTTCTTTTTACAACAAAGCATACTACAAAGTAAACATGAAGGATATCTTATGAACCAGGCTATGTTCTCTGCATGTGAATGCCAGTACAGTGACACTGTGTGTGTGTGTGTGTGTGTTTTTTTTATTTGGGGGGGGGGCGGTCAGACTGAGTCCAGTTAGTACTTCAGCCACTAATTGGCCTACTGTAGCAGCCCGATGACAGATGAGTATGGAGCATTTATCGGAATGAGAATTGGCAGGGGAAACTGAAGCACTCGGGGGAAAAAACCTGCCCCAGTTTCACTTTGTCCACCACAAATCCCACATAAACTGATCTCATATCAAACCCGGATGGTCATGGTGGGAAGCTGGAGACTAACCACCTGAGCTACGGCATGAGCATGGCAGTTGTGGCATGGCCCTACATGAATACCAATATACTGCCATTATCTTGAGCTGTGACATGGTTCAACATGAATGCCAGTATACTGCAATTATCCTGAGCTGTGCCAGGACTCCATATGAATGCCAGTACACTGCCATTATCCTGAGCTGTGACATGATTCGACATGAATGCCAGTATACTGCCATTATCCTGAGCTGTGCCATGGCTCCACATGAATTCCAGTACACCACCATTATCCTGAGCTGTGCCATGGCTCCACACGAATGCTAGTATACTGCCATTATCCTGAGCTGTGACATGGCTCCACACAAATAGACAGAATATGCAATTGGAAAAGTTCATAAGAGTACATTACAAAAACTGTCTGGTTAGAAAAGGAATATGGATTCATTGTGTGCACAGCCATGAGCTGATGTTCATACTGTATTTCAATTAGGGACCTGAAAAGGGTTATGACTTTGTCTTTGTTCCTGTAGCCTAACTTTCAGTTACTCTCTAGATGTTGGTTCGTAAGAAATGTTTGAGGAAATTTCTCAGATTATTTGCAATCATCGTGTATTATACTGTATGGTATGAGCCCGAATGTTGGGGTGCTAGCAACTTCTGAGTGTTTACTCTGTACACTATAAGCCATTAAATCTATCCTGCAATATTTAGCAAATAAACGATTTGTCTATGATATAAATTCAATTACTTACACTTTTTTGTACCCCTCTGCACTTCAGAAAGGAACAATGTAATGTACATGCACTGAAAATTGGCATATCAGTATATGATTAGGGGTTGTTTATACTTCTTTGTATCATTTTATTAATAAGGTCCATTTATTTATTGCAGGCATACTGTACACCAAAAATAAAAGTTTGTGCTTTCAAGTATAAGCAAAGAAAGGTTAACTTAAATTATTTTTGGACGACATAGGTTAACCTTGTAAGCGTGTTGATATACATTTTATTGCTTACTTTGATTTCCCTACCGCACTATCTCCAAGGCAAATTACTTTAACAGCTAAATCTCCCTTCCTCTCTTTATCATCGTAATCAATTTCAACATCTTCATCGCCAACCATATTTAACCATAACACCGACACCCCTTCCCTACAGAAATCCGAAACAAGCGTAGTTTCAAAGCATATTGATCAACCAGGTTGTGTAATTTTCCTTACATGTGCAAGAAATGTGCCTTCTTAATTTGAAATTTACCAACACGCCTGCTTTTCCAGAAATATTTACCTGATAGTAATATAAATTTGTTACTTTTACTTCTGGTGTGACGTTTGTATGATATATTTCTGTCAGAATTATCTTGTAGTAATGTAATGAAGCTAGAAATATTGTTTTCTTCAAGAAAATAAGAGTGGCAGGCATGTGAATGTTCTGCGTTTCGCTCAAAGATGTCGCACTATGTACAAGAACAAAAAATTATCGTACCATACATTCAATTTCGATATTATAGGTTCAAATTCTCAGGCTTTGTGATACTGCGATCCCCAAAGTAATGTACAAATTTATGCCATCCAATGTACCTGGTGGTCAGCGAAAAATGCAGTTTTGCACAATGCTGCAGATCACTATCAGACCCTACAGGGACAGCAGGAGCCGAAATAGGTTTACGTCCTCACTCACCTTACAGCAAGCTAAAAAAGGTTCTTGTACAGTCTTGAGGAGAGCAGTTCTGCAAATTATTCCAGGTCCGTATGAGACTGTACGGTGACAGAAGGAACCATAAAAGGATAACAACTTCTCTACACATAAAAGAGGCAAAATGTAAAGTTGTCCCTGTGTTTAACTAAGCACTGAACACTACACCATGAAGACGTATGGAGATATGGATCTGCAGATCCACGTATTTTTTACCTCGCCACTAATTGTTTGTGAGCTTGACGCCCCTGCCGCTTAACCCCTGTGGAAAATCTGCCGGTACCCATCGGATGGTAGGTTGGGTGGACCCCAGAACCGGCCTGGACGACGTGGAGCAGAGAAAATTCTTGCTTCTACTGGGACTCGAACTATGACCCTTCAACCCCTCGACCGTCCAGCCCGTGGCCAGTCGCTATACAGACTGCTCTATCTCGGCTCTTAACTCGTAAAACAGGTCATAAAATATTCCTGTAGAACCACGAAAAACACAGTTCTGCAAACTGTTGCAGGTACCCATCAGGCTGTACAGTGTCAGCAGTAACCTAGGTAAATTTAAAAAGTGTGTACGTCTCCAATAAACTATAAAATACTCCTGTACAAGCATGGAGGATTTTTCGAAATAATTCGTCGGCCGCAGCTGCATTTTCCGAACCCACCTGTATTAAATCTCACTGACTTGTCAAAATTTTGCGTGGATGAAACTGCAGTATATTTCAAATAATTGCTGAGAACTTGGATACCGGCAAGGGGTCGCGACCCACAATCTGAGAAACAGTGGCATAATACCATCCATACAGTACGAATAGACTGCATATTGTTTAGGTTCTTAGTTCATTGTTGGAATCCTGTCCCTACCCTCATTCAGCTCTCTCTAGAACCAATCCAGGTTCTTCTTCTGGGAGTAAAGGCGGCTGGGATTGAGAAGCTCTTACTCTTGTGTAGGCTAATGCCAAGTTTATGGATGCTTGGATCATTACCTTTTCATAACTTCATAAATTAATTTTATTATTAATAAATAACTTAACACATTTGAACTTCATAAATTATGCGTATTATTGTTAAATAAATTAACACGTTTGAATTAATAAATAGGAAATATATGAATAAATACATAGACTAACACACGGAATTATGGAACCTCAGTGTTGCAGACGTGAAATTATTATTCATACTTAGTCTAAGAAAATGAAAGAAATTAACAAGACATATACCATTTTGTGGGCTACTGGAGACTGAAGAACGGGAAGACAGAAATTTTTGTCATAAGCTTTTCTCCTTTTTAAGCATGGCTTGTAAAATTCCTTAGAATCCATAAGAGACTTTGGTTTATCTCGTGTGAACCCAAGGCATAAGCGAAAGGACGGTATCGGTGAACGCGCGAGAATGTGAGGCGGGCTGTACTATAGAGACGGGGTCCAATCTCAGGCACTTCCAATGGCGGTGCTGTATTTGTGGGTTCCAAAACATTACTGAACTTCATGAACAACTGAATTATATCATAGTGTGGTCTTCTGGCCTATGGCACCGTCTAGTCTTGCAGGAGGAATATCAACTAGCTTGGAGACTGAGCAGTACTCCGTGCAGACTCTACAACCGTGAGGACAGGAGAACGAACTTTGTGACGGCACACGTTACAACCCTCCGCCGTTTTCTTGCGTTTCCTTAAAGGAATATTAATATTTGCTGCTCCTTTATTCATATCGTGATAATTAATTTGCATTAATCTAAACACATTACGCCGAAATGTAAATAAAATTGTTGTTAGAATTACAACACTAATGATGGCACAGTGTTTGGAAATTTCGTATTATTGACTCTGACGAAATTTAGAGAAAATTGGTCTCTTTCAATGAAAAGAGGAGGGGAAGGGAGAATATCTCGTTTCCAAGGGCCGCACTAGGGCTTACGGACGGACTGGCAGCAGCACATCTGGAAATTATAGTCCATTCTGGCGCCAAAGGCCGCCTCGATATCCGCATGAAAAGCAGCCAGCAAGAGTTGTCAGTCAGCTTAGAGCTTGTTACTCCACGGTCGCTCGAACTCCTGTACACAGTCCTTTCAGTCCTGAAACCGTAACTATCAGGAAAACAGAATAAGCCCGTGCTACACGAGTATATTCCGTTGGGTAAGAAGACAGGACACTTCCAAACTCACTGTAAGGCGCTTCATATTTAGATATAGTGGACTAAGATTAGTACTTGTTGAGCATGGATCGAGACTATTATGCACTGTTTAAACTAATCGTAAGTTACCTAAATATGAGTTCGTCTGAAAAGTCTCCGAAAAGTTGGCTATTCAACACGTTTGCTGTATAGGATCTGTAATACCCTCACTCTGCTGGACACAAGTAAGGAGATTTGTTTAGGAGTAAACACGGAGAGAACATGTAAGATTTGAGGCTTTCACGGCAGTGACTATGAAGAAAGCAGTCTGCTTTTACCGATTCTCACGGTCTCTCCGCTTGCAGATTTCTTATATTTTTTCTTCTACCCTGAAGATGGAGGCGATACGTTCCTCCGAAACGTCGGTTAACACCACATATACACGGTGCCAAATCCCAGAAGACTGCTTTCTTCACGGAGAGAACATGCTTCTATTTTGTTTGTCAGAATGCAGGACGAAATCAAAGTGGTCTGTAGTAAAGGCAGATAATAAACCATTCGAAAATATGGTAAAGTTCAAATAGGTCTATTTCAAAACAAGTCAAAATTTCAATCCGAATTATATTCCAAAAGTAATTAAGAGCAGCTTAAATTAGGAGAATGTTTGCTACATTTCGGTTCAGAATATTTTGTTTCCCGTCTGCTGCCTAAGAACGGGAAAATTAAAATGTACGACAAGAGTGTACAAGTGAAGGAGTTGACGAGAGTACTTTGATCGTAGACGGAAAACTTAACAGGAGGTTGGAGGACATTAAATAAGAAAGAGGTTCATAACTGTAACTTTCATCAAATGTAATCAGGACTGTCAAACTAAGGACGGCGGAATTAAATGGGAGAAATCATAAATATTGTCTCAATACATGCATCCTGTTTTGTGTCATAAATAGGGCATATAATGTTTAAAAAAAATTCAGTATTTTAAAAAAAGTAGACACTACTGTTTAAACATCTGTTTTATTGACGCTACATGTTTCAACCCTTATGCTGGGTCATCATCAGGCCTACAATGATACCAGTCTCAGTTGCTGAACTGCATCTCACACCAAAAAACCTAACCCTTCCCCATATTTTCAACCACTCACAGTATCCTCCCCCCTTACCTCATACCACTCGACTCTATACAAACATACTCACATATACAGATACCCCCAAACAAGTAGTCTAGACCGAACCGCTACAAAACAGGGAGCGGCCCTTACACATATCATCATAAGAAAATCTGATATACATCACTCCTGTTGTGTGACATACAGAGTAACGAGCATAAGCTCCACAAGACCACACGACATAACTTACGCGAGAAGGTTCCGATGCGCAGGCGCCCCACACTATAGTCGCTTCTTCCACTAGGAAATCGTGTTAACACGTAGTGGTCACGAAGGTTTAAAGAGATTTATCGCAAAATAGTACTTCATTTCCATTTTTTTGTACAATTTTAATTTTTATGTTTTAATCTTTAGCCTCTAGTTTTTAAATTTTATTATCTGAGTATTTAAAATTTTAACTGAAAGACTCAATTTATGCATTTAAAAACTCTCAAGGGCACAATAAGGATCCTTATTGATGAATTAGATGCAAATAGACGCAATTCAGCAATTGAGACTGGTATCATTGTACACCTGATGATGACCCTGTATAAGGATCGAAACATGTAGCGTCAATAAAACAAATGTTAATACAACAGTGTCTACTTTTTTTTTAAATACTGAATATTTTTTTTGCAGATAATCATGCTTTTATACACATAAATATTGTCTCCCAGCTAATAATAATGGATTCTGGATTTAATGATTGGATTTATTGGAACTTCTTTACAATTAAAGCCGATTATGACAGTTCGTACAATGAACTTCTGCAAGACTTCTGTCTCACGAATCTCCAACCGGTCTCTACTACTCCTGGGGTCTGAATCTGAGTCTTGTATTATGACCGGCGGTCAGTCGGCCAGTCTGTCTTGGAATGAAGCACCAATCTGGGGCTTAAGACCAGATCATCCTTACTGACAGTTGCGAGTTTCTTGATGTGGGTCGTTTTCTCTGACGAGAGGACGGATCTGTACTCAGCCCTGCTCCTACCGCCAGCAAGAAAAACTTAACACAGTGGACACCAACGGCGGCACCTGTCTGCTCTACAACCACAGGCCGCCTCTTCGTCACGGAGAGGATCAGTAAATGGCGATTTCTAGTCGGCACGGGCTCACACCTCTGTGTGTAACCCCGGAGGCTCATTCCACGACGCAATGAACGCGTCAACTACGACGTCTATGCGCCTAACGGCACTGCATCCCCACCTGCGGATGGCTGACCTCAGACTCAAATTGGGACTAGAACGGAATTTT